CCCAAATTTAAAAAATAAATTAATAAATACCCTTGAATAGAAAATGGAGAAAAATTAAACAACTTTACTGTATCAACCATGCCTGATCCTTATCAGGGAAACCAAGTGGGGGGACAGGGGAGGAGGAAGGGAGACTTAGAAGTAGAAGAGGATGGTCACAGGACCCCAGGGAGAAGGAGAGAGCAGGAACCTTACTGAGCCATATTCTGTGGTCTTGAGCAGAGAAAGAAGCATCCAGAAGCAGCATTAGGGGTTTAGAAAGTGGGGGAGGAGGTGCAAATCTTATCTGGCCTCATGATCTCTTTTTTCCTAAAGGAACACTTTTACATGCATGTAAATTGCATCAAGTGGGACCAGTCATAGCTGAATGGTTTTTAAAAAACTGATTTCCAGCTGTCTCCGCCTTCTATTTTGAATTTCTCTCTATAACACTACACAAAGATTCTGGGATTTATTTTCTGAAAAGATGTGTCAATATTACCTTTTCTATGACCTGGAGAATTAGCAGAATCTGACTGCCTCCTCGACTTCCAAGAGCTGTCCAAACTGAGCCCAGTCCACCTCTCTCCACCACCAGGTTTTTCATTCACGTCCTATCTTTTCCTCCAGTCTCAACTCATCTTCCTCCTCAGGGGTGATAAAAATGCTCAGCAGAACCAATTCAAGCACTTTCTCTTTCCTACAAGCCTCACCTCCTCCCAGCTCCTCGTGGCCGGAGGGTGCGACCTTCTCCGTGTTTCCCTATCCCTTTACTTTCCATCACCTCAGCATCCACTTGATGCCAAGCCCTGTTGATTTTACCGTCGCCATTTGTCTATATGCATCGCCTTGTCTCCTTCCCCATTGTCACAGACTCTGTCCAGACCCTCTTCATTTCACACCTTGACCATTGCAAAAATCTCCTAACTGGCCTCCCTGTACACAAACTTTCATCACTTGAATCACACCAGTTATGCTCCTAAAATCTGATTCAACCATGCCCCTCTTTGTATCAAGATCTTACTTTGCCCACAGAGGACAGGCCACCTCCTTAACATAACATTTAAGAGCTCCACAATCTACCCTTCCAGGTTTATGTCTGGCTCCACCCATCATGGGCTTTTTATCTCTCCCTCCTGCAGACTTTTCATCATTCTACCTATCTCTTTCCATCCCCTGCATTTGCTCATTCCCAGAAGGTACTCCTTTGCCCTCCATTACAGTCCCCTGGGTGTGACTGGGCCTGAGGGTTGCTCATGGAGTTGTCTCTCACCTGGCACCCTGTAAGCTTTTGAGAGCAGGGAGTGTATATTTCTCCTCCTCTCCCACATGAACAAACTCCCCTTCGGTACTCAGGAAAAAATAAAGTATTAAATGAAGGTTGTTGGTACACTCTTATAAGCAAGACTCACAGAATGTTAGGATCTTAGTGCTAAAAGATACAATAAAAATTATCTAAGCCAACCTCTCACCCAGTGCATAAAGCCCTTTGGTTATCTATTGCTGAGCAACAAAGTACCAGGAAATATACTGACCTAAAACAACTGTTTTATTTGTTTGTGATTCTGCAGGTCAATAATTCAAGCAGGGCTTGGCTGGGTGGTTCCTCGGTGCTTTGTGGTATCAGCTGAGGTCAATCGCTTGATTGGGGTCATGCACTGAGATGAGCTGGTAGGGTCAAGGCTTCATTCATGTGTGCCTCAGTGCCCCTCCACTTAACCTCTTTCTCTCTGCATGGTTAGCTTAAGTTTCCTCACAGTATGGTCATCTAGAATGGTAGGGTTTCTTAGGGGACAGGTTCCAAAAGTGAGCATTGCAAGACAGGCAAAAATAGGAGCCACAGATCTCTTATAGCCTGTTCTCACAAGTTACACCTGTTGTTTCTACTGCTGTCTACACATTAAAGCTAGTCACAAGGATGGTCCAGATTCAAGAGTAGAGAAATACACGCCACCTTGCAAAGGGAAAAGTGGCAAAGAATTTGCCACCCACCACATTTAACCTACCGCAGAAACCTTTTTAGAAAATGCTTCAGCCTGTGCTTAGTTATTTTCTGTGATTATGTTGTGTTGTGCTCAACACAGTAAAAGGGTCATGCATTTACAGGCAGATCTGATTTAAAAAAAAAAAAAACAAAACCTCTACTTTGGAAGGCTGAGGCAAGTGGATTGCCGTAGCTGCCGGTTCAAGACCAGCCGGGGAAACTTGGTGAGACCTCATCTCCACAATAAAAAAAAGAAAATAGCCAGGCATGGTAGCATGCACCTGAAGTTGCAGTTATTTGGAAGACTGAGACAGAAGGATTACCAGGACCCAGCAGGTCGACAGTGGGGTGGCTGTGAGTGTGCCACTGCACCCCAGCCTGGGCAACAGAGTGAGACTCCAACTCAAAAAAATAAAAAAGAAAGAAAAAAGAAAACAATCTCGGCCTAAAATCTGGATCATTCAATTCCGGAAACCTTGATCTGATGTTGCTGACAGACACCATCCTAATGAGCCCCTCCAAGGTCTCTCAAGTGAGATTTGCATATCTGAGACTTCTCAAAATGAAGACATATCAAAGCGGGGTTACTATTTCTAAAAAAGTTTAAACATTCACATTTAGCAAATTAATTTCTGAGCCAAAACAAGTACATAATAACCATAACCTTTTTTGAAAATAACAAAGTAAACCTGAGGGCCTGACCAAACGTCCTCACTGACTTTCAATGAGCCCTGGTACAGAGCATCCCAGTTTCCCATCACCTCCATCATTAAGGTTCTCAAGGACACTATCAGTCAGAAAATCTCTACTGGCAGTTTAATCCCTCCATGATCTCCTTGTGAACTGACCCTCAGGACCCTAGCTCCACAGAGCCATCCTTCCAGCATCTGGAGCCCAGCCCCCATTTAAGGAAGAGGGAAGCTAAAAATTAGAACAAGAGACTCTCAGCCGGGCTCGGTGGCTCAGCCTGTAATCCCGCGCCTTTGGGAGGCTGAGGTGAGTGGATTGCCTGAGCCCGTGGGTTCAAGACCCACCTGGGCAGCGAGACCTCATCTCTACAATAAATCAAAAAATCAGCCGGGCATGGTAGTGCATGCCTGTAATTCCGGCTACTTGGAAGGCTAAGGCGGAAGGATCGCCGGAGCCCAGCAGGTCGAGGCTGTGATGGCCGGGAGCGGCCACTGCACTCCAGTCTGGGCGAGAGTGAGACTCCAACTCAAAAAAAAAAAAAGAACAAGAGACTCTCACTATTAGAGATACATAAAAAGAGTGGGGGTTTTTTTTCTCCAGCAAATTTAAATAATCATATGCAAAATCCAACATAAACTACCTCTCCACTGTGGATTAGATTTGAAATACTGTTATTGTTCATTTTAACAGGTGTGATAAGGATTATTGTGGCTATGTAAGGAAATGTCCTTCTTCACAGGAGATGCATGCTGAACTACTTAGAGTTTGGTCAAGAGTCCACAAACTAAGGCTTCTAGGTCAAGTAACAGATATCCATCTATTTTTTAAAGGAAAGTCATATTGGACACAGCCACATCTATTCATTCAGTGTGTATATATGTGTGTGTGTGTGTGTGTGTGTGTGTTTTCCCCAAATACAGCTATACCATTGATGCAATTGCAATGAAAATCACTGTGGTCTTTGTTGTCTGGGTGGGGGAGCAGTGACAAAATAATTTAAAAGTTTTCTTGGCAGAAAAAAAATGGGTGAGATTAGCCAAGGACACTTTGGAATTAAGAATAATGATAGGGCTCTTACCTTAACAGACGTTAAAATTTATTTTAAAGCTACAATAATTAAACAATTAAGTCTGGCTCAGGAATAATAAATCAGAGAAGAAAAATTCACAGGAAACCCACAAGTAAGTAAAACGTAAGAATCCAATCAAGGCAGCAAATTCAATGAGAAGGGAGAGGATGGATCACATAATAAATAATACTGAGACAACTGTCTAACCATTTGAAAGAAAATAAAGTTAGAGCCCTATATCATACCACCCTCCAAAGTGAAGGAAAATTAATTGCAGGGAGATATAATCCTGAAAGATATATAAGACAATGGAGAATTATATAAGGTGTGGTGGCATGGATCTTTCTAAGCATGAAACAAATAATAAAGCAAAAGACTGATAGATTTGGCCAATTAATATTGAATCCTCTATATATCTGAAAATACTAAAACCAAAATTAAGAAAAAAACTGCAGCATAGTTGATTTTAAAAGGCCAACACCTTCACTATCTAATCATTATGGGGGGGGGAGTATTAAGAATTTGTTTAATGGGAAAATGCCATGAATATACTGACACTTGCAGAACTCTTTCATATACATAACTCCATCTAAACCCCTGCATTAAGAGACCTGGTCAAATTCTAGCATGACTTCTAGCAGCATGAGATCATAACCCTAGAATGACTCTAGATTCCCTTAAAATGCCTGCTTGAAACAGCTTAATGTTGCCAAAAAAACTTACTATTGTTCTAACTTGCATCTGACAATAGACCAATAACTCCCTGTCGCAGGCCAGAAAATATGCAAAAGCATCTCCTTGAATCTTCATAAAAACTTCAAATAGAGTGTTGTTTTTACCCTAATATCATAAACAAGTAAGGCTCAGAGAAGTAGAGCAAGCTTCCCAAGGTCAAGCAGCAGGGAGCAGTAAAGTTGGAACTGGGTCTAAGGCTAGTTTGACCAGAAGCCTAGTTCTTCTTAGGTCTCATTTCAGGACTCATGGTTTGGGACACAGAAGGCCTGAGTTCTGATCCTGATTCCAACCCCAACTACTACACTGTGATCTTAGCAAATCTCTTCTCCTACCTACCCTCAGTTTCCTCATGTCACAACAAGAAGTGAATTGACCCAAATGGTGTGTCAAGTTTCCTTCTGCTCAGACTTGACAGATTTCTGTTCTCACAAAGTGCCCCAAACCAACCAGTGGCCAAGCACAGGTCCAAACCAGAGGTCAGGCCCAGTGGCCTCAGGGGCTAGAGCAAGTGCCTACACACAGGGTCCCCATGCACTGGCCCACCTTGAATTCCTCGTGAATGCGTTCCTCCAGGACTTTGGCAGCCTTGCGGTCTTCCATCTCCACTTTCCATTTCTCGGCCAGGATTCGGGCTTTCTCGTTGGCCAGAGCATCCCGGAACTTCTTGGTGATCTCTGCCTCCTTCTGTCTCCTTCCAAGAGAGCACCAGCAGGTATAAGCCCATGTGAACAACTGAAGGACGACATAACAACTTGAAATAAAAACAATAAGCAATCTTTCTTGGTCTATCAGAATGGCAAATATCAAAAGTCAACAAAACTCCATGTTGGCAAAGGAGGGGAGAAACAGGAATTCACAGTATAGGAGTGTAAGTCAGTAGAATTGTTCTGGAAGCCAGGAAAAAAAGACTAGGAAATCCCATTTCTCACTCAGGTGTACAGAGATGCATGTAAAAAATGCTTATTGGAGGACTTTATAACATAAAAAATGGTGAACAGCCCAAATGTCCATCAACAAGACCTGTAAGTTGAGTTTCTCATGCAATATAATAACTGTACCATACAGTCATCTTAAGTAGCATTGTGGATCTATATTCATCAATTTGTCAAGGTGTGAATAAAACAGTTTACAAAGCATGTACTACCTAAATGCTCAGTGTGGTTATCTTAGGTGGTGGGTGTGGGTTTTTCTTTATTTTTTATAGTTTTCAGTGCTGTGTACATGATTTTATAATTTTATAATTAACACAGTCCTTAAAAATTAGGGCCGGGCTTGGTGGCTCAGCCTATAATCCCAGCACTTTGGAAGGCCGAGGTGAGTGGATTGCCTGAGCCCGTGAGTTTGAGACCAGCCCGGGCAACTTGGTGGGACCTCATCTCTACAATAAAAATTTAAAAAATTAGCTGGGCATGGTAGTGTGTGCCTGTAGTTCTGGCTACTTGGAAGGCTGAGGCAGAAGGATCGCCAGAGCCCAGCAGGTCAATGCTGGGGTGGCAGTGAGTATGCCACTGCACTCCAGCCTGGACAACAGAGTGAGACTCCAACTCAAAAAAAAAAAATTAGGGGGCGGGGATATTGCAATCAAATTCACATGGATTTCCAAGATTGGTGGAAAAATGCTATAAAAGGAGTCTGACTCCAAACTCCCACAGGGCTTAACTGTCCATCTGGTGTGAGAAACATGGTAACATGAAGAGGAACAAGCAGATAACAAACATGCATCCAAACTACTGTCCCTGCCCCATGACAACCCACTGAAGGAAAAAACAAAAGCAGGTCGTATATACTATATCACAGTATGTTATGCCCATACCACAGATGTGAAAACTGAAACCCCAGATCAGTTAACTACTAACTGGTAGAGCCAGAATTTGAAGCCACCGAGTATACCGGATTCAAGGTTGATGGTTTTCTCACCTGATCTTAGCAAAGCTCCAAAGAGTCAGGCAGCTGACTGGCACCTCCTCCTTCCTACCCACACCTATCGTCCTTAGCTTGGCCCCATCCCAAGGCTCCATGCTCAGGCCCCATTCAATACCCTTTGGCACCCCTCACCAGAGCTCCTCGGCCTCCCTCTGTGCCTGCAGCCGCGCTCTTTCTGCAATCAGCTCCTCAGAGATCTCTTCATAGGGCTTGTCACCGGGGCCTTCTCCCATAATCCAGACCCAGACCTCGCCGTCTGCCCCTAGAAGCCATTGGATGTGCTTGTCACTCGCTGCCACACAATAGAAAGAAGAACAAAGAAGAAACGAGTTTGATTTCCAGTTAGTAAGGAGTGATCTAGGCTGGCCAATGGTACACAACGATCACATCAATCTACAGAACGCTGTCATCTACAAACAGGATGCCAGAGGGACATTGGCCTGAGTGCAGGTCCACAGTCATCTCTCCCTTCCTCTCCCTGTAGGAAGCAACACAACAGTCAAGCCAGCCTACAGGAGCAGGTATCCAAGCTGGAACTGACATCCAAGGCCAACATCTCCTGAGGTCTTCAGCAGAGAGAACATCAAGGGACACTGCAGGACTCCCTGAAGGAACTAACTTGTGTCACTCCCAGGCCAATGCAGTTAGGTGATGGTAGGCCCTCTCTGTGCTCTCTCCCTCAAGTCCACTGGCTGGAACCAAGGAACTGAAGATGGTAAAGTTGCAAGATTGAGCAACCTGGGGCCCTGAGTCTCTCTGGGCTACATCAGACTATAGCATGAGCAAGAAAGAAACCTGCATTTATTCAGCCACTGAGATTTCTCAGTTTGTCTGCTGCGACAGATTCAGTTGATTGTCATGACTAAAATGGAAATCTAGTCTCAAAGTGGGGTGCTGCTGAAACAGAAATATAAATTCTGTGTCATTGCTTTAACAGTTGGGCGATGAGGGGTGTTTAAGAGACTAGAGATCCATCTTACACAGCAGCACATGTGGTAAATAAAATGCCAGACACTAAAACTTAAAAGCCAGACCCCCATGCTTTCTGAACTTTTCGTCCTAAGGGAAGAGTTTGGAAACAGAACATCAGTAGTAAGGGTTGGTTGCTAGTGGCTGTGTCTGGCAAGGTGCGAAGAGAAGGAAATGAGTTCAAGAAAGAATTGAATACAGCAAGCAGCAATGAAAGGGAACAGACAATACAGTAACCTGGGACTTTATAGGATTAGAAAAACCATCTCATCGTCTTCTAGGGTCCAAATTGCAAGAGATGAGATTTTTAAAGGGCTTGCATAAGACAGCCCAGTAAAACTGCTAAGGTGACTAAAGCACAAAGCACTGCGGTGGCCATGAGAATGTCATCTGTCCCTTCAACTAAAGGAAACTTAATCGACCAAGCACCACAGCTCCAGTGCTCTTGTGTGTGTCTGGGGCCATGCTCCCCAAAGGCTGTTCCCATCCTCGGGCTGAGCACGCCAGGCAGGCTCACTTCTGGGAGACACCCAACTCCTAGCTGAAGGACTGCTTTCTGCACTGCGAGCTGCCTGGAACACCTCCACCCAACCTCCCTTCCCTCTCTCCTTCACTCAAGGTCAGGCTTGCATTGCGGTGTCACGACTCTCCCAGCCTCCGCCAGCTCCCTGACCTTTTCCTCTCCTGGCCGTTTCCTTAAAAACCCTTGCATGATCAATTCCATCCTGGGCTCTGCTCCTCAGAGAAACCAGACTAACACAAGCGCATTAACAGTGTACTCTCTCCACTTATTTTTACAAAGAGCCTCAACGAAGATGTCCCTCAGGTGAAAGGGAGAAGCCCAGAGGTAAAGAGGCAAAGAAATAAAGTCACGCCGAGTTGCCCAGACTACTTGGAAGGCAGAGGCGGAAGGATCGCCGGAGCCCAGCAGGTCGAGGCTGTGGTGGCCGGGAGCAGCCACTGCACTCCAGTCTGGGCAAGAGTGAGACTCCAACTCAAAAAAAAAAAAAAAAAAAGAAGTAAAGTCAAATTGAGAGATGTGTCTAGGAAAGAATTTTAGATGTTGTTAGTGGTACATGAAAACAAACAGATCAGAAGCCTCCTAAGCTTTTAAGTCTGGACTAAAAAGCCTTCGACTGCTCATGAGTTAAGCAGTCCTTGGGCATCCAACTCTGATGATCAAGTTTCAAAGGCTAGACTGGCCAAGGGAGGGTGTGATCCTCAGCACTCACATCAGATGAGGCCAAGGGGAATAATGAACGAGGAGCCCCCTCCAGGGTGGAGTCAGTGTCCACTCATCAAGGAATCCACTTCACTGCTGGGGCAGGGGAACATCACAGAGCTGACCTGCAGGACTTCGGGAATGCTATAGACTAGTAACTGTGGTTCTCACGTTCTCCCCTTTTCCAAATAGCAATTTCCTTAGTGGGTATTCTGACCCTGCTCCAGCACTGTATATTATGTCTTAATATAATATCATGTCTTAAGGGTAAGGAGTGTTCAGGTACATTCAGATCTGATAAAGACCATTCAGAACCCCAGAGACTAGACTTTGAGCTGAATGCAGTGACTCGATGTAACCTGAAGGCGTCACCTTTAAGGAAGTGGCGCATGTATTTTATAAGGAAGAGGCTAGAACGTGCAGATGACCAGAATGAGAATTTATGGCCGTGACAATGCAATATCCTCGTCCCATTTCCTCTTCCCGAGCCCACTGATGACTGCATTCCTTGGCTTTCCCATGGGACCATATGATTGATTTCCAATCTATGGAATCAGGGGAAGTTGTTTGTGCCATTTTCAGACTGAGGCTGCTAACAGTTGGTGTGCCTTTTCCACATTTTCCTCTCTCGTCCATCTACCTAGAAATAAATGACTCCAAGGTGGTTGAACTTGAAGAAAAAAGGCTCCTGATCCATGAGTCAATGTTTGAAAGCAAGCTTCACAGAAGAACCACTCAACCCACATCAAACTGTGATCTAGTCAGGTAGTAAACCTTTGTTGTATGAATCTACTGAAATTTCAGGATTTATTTGAAGACAACATTAGTTCCTCAGATATAATAGAAAGGAATTATTATTTTTTAGAATGTTATAAGCAATATAGTATTGAAAGACAGGTTTGATTATGACTGATGGAAACAGAGAGGAAACCACCACAAGAATTATAAAACTTTCAAATAAATAACGGGTGAAAATGAATGATAAGAGGCACACTAATCCTACAAAAAATAAGTAAAGAAAAAATAACAAAACGTGTAATTATTACAGCAGACACTGCCCATTACGTACCCACCAGTCATCCCAGCCCCCTTTCCTCCCTTGGCATAGAAGCTGAAGCGTGTAGTTTTTAGCCTCATGGTTGCAAAAGTCTTCCCACAATTCCAAGCATCACTGCCTCATTCCCAGGAGGAAGAAGGAGATGGGGCAAAAAAGTGAAGTGTGAAGGGGATTCTCCTGAGAAGGCATCATCATTCCTTTGGAGAAGGTGAGCCCTTTACTGGGACTTCTGCCTACACCTACTTTGTCAGAAATGGGGACATCTGGTCACTCCTAGATCGATCATTTGCCCATGGAATAATATTACCTGTTGGTTTAAATCTACAGTAAGCTAAAGTAATACTACCCATTGCATCACATCTCCAGATTTCTTGCCATTTGAGAAAAATGAATAACTTCAATTAATAAAGTTTTGTAATGATAAAATGGTATATCCTAATATAAATAGGAAACTTTTGGCTGGGTTGGGTGGCTCAGCCTGTAATCCCCGCACTTTGGGAAGCCGAGACTTGTAGATTGCCTGAGCCTGTGGGGTTCGAGACCAGCTTGGGCAACTTGGCGAGACTTGGTCTCTACAATAAATAAAAAATTAGCTGGGCGTGGTAGTGCACGCCTGTAGTTCCAGCTACTTGGAAGGCTAAGGCGGGAGGATCTCCAGAGCCCAGTTGGTCTACACTGGGGTGGCCGTAAGAGTGCCACTGCACTCCAGCCTGGGTGACAGAGTAAGACTCCAAATTAAAAAAAAAAGGTGATTGATGTTTAAACATGTAAGCATAAATACACAATTTTAAATAAATAAATTCTGCTTAAAAAAATAGGAAACTTTTGTTTAATTAAGCAACTGTTGATTCTATGTTCTGTGACTACCAGTCAAGCACATTCCTAACCGATACAGAAAACAAACACAAAAATAACACAGAAGCACTAAACTCTAAGTAGTTTTATTAACACAATAAATGTGAACAGAATGAATTCTCCTATTAAAAATATGAGACTGTCAGATGTGATTAAAAAATAAAATCCGGGTCAGGCGCGGTGGCTCATGCCTATAATCACTTTGGGAAGCCGAGGTGAGAGGATGGCCTGAGCCCACGGGTTCGAGACCAGCCTGGGCAACTTGATGAGACCTCATCTCTACAATAAATTAAAAAATTAGCCGGGCATGGTGGCACGTACTTGTACTTCCAGCTACTTGGAAAATAGAAGCGGAAAGATCTCCTGAGCCCCACAGATCGAGGCTGCGGTGGCCGTGAGCGTGCCACTACACTCCAGCCTGGGCGACAGAATGAGACTCAAAAAAAAAAAAAAAAAGATACAGCTATGTATTAAAGAAAACACACATGTGGTTTTTTAAAAGGCTAAAAATAAAGAAATAGACAACAATAGACTGTGCAAAGGCAAGCAAAAAGGAAGCAGAAGTGACAATGTCAGACAAAGCAAAATTCAAGGGTAAACACATTAAACAAGACAAAGAAGAATGTTATGTGATAGTAAAAGATGCAACCCACAAAGAAGATGTACCAGTCATAAAACTTTATACAGCAAACAATCTAACACCCAACTCCATAAAACAAAGACTCCAACAATACAAGGAGAATTTGCAAAAGTATATACACTCTTGGTGAGGGATTTCACTCTATCTATATCAGAAGTTGGTGAGTCAAATAGATTTTTAAAAGTAGTATAGAGGATTTTAATAATACAGTCAACACATTCTATTTATAATTACAGAACTTTATTCCTTAAACTTTGAGAGTACACTTTTATTTTGATCTTGTAATTGTAAGAAAAATTTTATAAGCCATATTTCCTAATAGCAATTTAAAAAATTAGAAATCAGCGGGGGGAAATCCTTATTTTAAAAAATTCTCACTGCTCTATAATCCAGGCAGTCAATGGGTGGTGGATGATGAGAAATGACTTAATGGGTACAGTGTACATTATTCAGATGATGGATATCCTAAAAGCCATGGCTTCACCACTACGAAATCCATGCATTTAACAAAATTACACTTGTACCAAATAACATTTATGTAAATTTTAA